AGCCCATCTCCTTCCTCTTCGTTTCGTCTGTCTACAAAAGAAAGACATGACTTCTAGTACCGGCATTTTTAGCGTTCCACTACAACCCCCCATCCCGCTCAGCCCATTTAGTTTCACTACTCAATCAACACAACCCCTACAATCATACCCCCCTTCCCACCTCATCTCGCCCACGACAACACCTAGGATAGTTCAAAATATTTTCCATCCCCCCCAGGCGACAATGACCTTGTTTGTAAGGCGCGGCTATCGACTAGAATAGATCAGAAATTCGAAGCCGAGATATCCCTGTTCACCATTTTGCCTGTATGCCTAATGTTTTGTCAAGACCGTCACCGCTTCTCACCAACCACCCACACCGCTCATCGTGTCTTTTTTAGTTCCCGTTGTCATGTCAATTCGTTCAGCGTTTATCCTTGTTTCACCTTGTTGCGACAGAGCCTCGCCGTCCAATCCGGTTGCATACGTCATCGTCATCGTCGCCGAAGTTGAGAAGTTTCGATGTTGCTACCTGACCGGCTAGAGTTTGCATCGATGCACTCACCGCATTGTCAACCTCGACCCGACGAACTTGTATCGCATGCTCGTTGCACTTCGCTATTGAAGAGTCCGAAGTGCTGCCGTCGTAATATTATGACAGTCTCGCGAAAGTATTGCGACTGCCTGTTTAGACAAAGCAACTCAACTAGCAAGTGCGATTTTGCGACTGCCCGTTTGAACAAAGAAGCTCACGTAGCAAGTGTGGAACCAGCCACCTTCAAACTCGGGTATACACTCTGGCTGAGTGGGAGATACCTCTTGGAACCACTGGTAGTACGTCCTGGGCAGGTTGAATCCAGTGTCGACGACTTTGCGACTGCCCATCTAGAAAAAGTAGCTCACCCAGCAAGTGCGACTTTGCGAACCCACGCTATTCATGCCACAGTGTCTGATGAGCTGTTTGCTGGACTGCAGTTGATATGGAGACAGCTCATTGTAAGAATATGAGATGTAGGAATGATTGTAGAAGTAATCGTAGTAATCACAGCAGTTGCCTAAGCAAGCCACTGACTGCAGCGTGCATGTGCTTACCTAAACTTCGCTTACCATCTGGCAGGCGCAGCAGGTATCCAGCAGGCAGCAGCCTTGGGTGCACTTCCACCACGCACCTCTTACCATCCACTTCTCATCACTGGCAATAGCGGACCAGACAACGGAACGTAATAACAAGTAAGTCTATTCCCCAGTTCCAGTGCGTCGCAACACCAAGGTCGTGAAGCTAACGAGACAGATGCCACCTTCCGTTCATCATCTATCCCAATCGTCCCCAAAAGGTCCCATCACGACATGGAGCGAGCACAAGTTCTAAGTGCATCTGAGGATTCCTCCAGGAAGCGAAAACGATCTACGGACCTGTCCGATGCCACCGATCAGAGCCATGGGGACACATGCAAAAGAAGTGACGAAACAGTGCGTCAAGAATCGAGCAGCCTTTGTTCCCGATGTTCGTCCATTGATGTCGATAGCCTTTTCGTCGATCTGGAGGGACACCTCATGAAGGAATTGATGACTCTTGGAGAACTCGGTAAAGAAGCTGAGCTGTCGTCATGCGCACTATGTCGCCTTTTCCACGCGGTGAGGCAACAAGGTAGCGCTAAAATCGAGAACTACGCTCTGTACTGCGTGCGTTCTCCTAAACCCCACCAGCCCAACCCTACCAAAAATGGAACAGTGCTAGCTGTAATTCGAGGAAAGCACGAGGCTAGGCTCATGCTGCTCAAGAATAGAGCGTCTTGCGGCTTCATTGCATGTTTAAGCGCGTCAAGGAAGGCTCCTAGCATTCATTCATTGCATGTATATTCCATTGATGCAGTCTCGATCGACTTCGACATCATTCGCGATTGGATACAGCATTGTGGTCGAGAGCACACAAAGCAGTGCACTCAAGTCGAATCATCAGCTTCAAGTCTACAAGAGCTGAAGTTGATCGACTGCGAACAGCGGCGGATCGTGCCAGCTTTGCCGACGTACGAGTATTCAGCACTCAGCTATGTGTGGGGCACGAGCAGATCTGGCGACGATGGGTGTGTCCACAACGAACTTCCAACTACCCTGCCACGTACTATCGAAGATGCCCTGAAAGTCAGCAAACTGCTAGGTCTTCGATATATATGGATCGACAGATATTGCATCGACCAAGACAACGATGATGAGAAAAGATTACAGATACAGCAGATGGACCTCATATACCAAAATGCGTTCATAACTATAATTGCTGCAGCAGGCGCTGATCCATACTTCGGCCTACCTGGCGTTGGCGCTACCCCGAGGATTCCTCAACCAAAAGCCTGGATTGGAGGGCGATGTCTTGTATCAACTCTAACAGACCCGCGGACGCTCATCAAGGCCTCTAAATGGATGCATCGAGCCTGGACCTATCAGGAGAGCTTTTTCTCAGCCCGACGCATCGTTTTCACAGAGCAACAAGTGTACTATGAGTGTCGTACTGGCTTTGCTTACGAGACGGTCGAGAATCCCAACGATTGGTGGACAGGGATTTTCGACGACCAGAAGAGAGACGAAAAGCGTAGTCCCTGGGATATCTGCTCTCGTCTGACGGATTTCTGTGGGAGAGAACTATCCGCCAGCTCCGATGCTATACGCGCATTTCAAGGGGTGTTCCATAGCTTCAGGAAGAAGAAATTTCCCGTTCATGAATATTTGGGTATTCCCATCATGCCATCGAAGCCTGAAGGGTGGGAAGGATATCACGACCTGAAAATCTGTGGTAACGGCGAAGCTTTCGCTGCCGGGCTCTCCTGGTGCAATACAGCATCAGGTACCAGGCGTTTCCTGTTCCCTACATGGAGCTGGGCTGGATGGAATGTGCCAATCAATTACGAGACTCTTGCATGTAGACAAGGGCTCCAACTCGAAAGCGAAAGACCATTGAAGATCTTCATAGAAAACTATGATGGATCACTTTCAGACATGGATGAGCAAAGCGACGTCTCGTTAGACATGGGCATACCTGGTTCCTCCAGCAAATTTATTCATATTGAAGCATGGACAATACCTATCGATATCCAGTACCTCTCTGACGACGAGATGGGCGACTGGAAAAAATCTCGTGAAGCACATCGATATGATGGGAATTACTCTGGGTACTTTGCCACATTCCAAGACGATCAGAGAACACTTCGGCTTCCCTTGTATTTATTGCATCAGCAGTACGACAAAGTCTTTCCTACACAGCAAAGCTACGTGCCAGACCTTCAACAAGGTAGTCTGTTAGGTATCGTGTTAGGTAGATGCGAAATTCTCCCATCTGATGATGTCAGAGATGATATCTTTGTCATGATCGTTCACAAGAGGGAGCATCATTACGAACGAGTTGGACATATGCTAATAAGGTATTTGTCCTACCGGTGGCTCGCAGACAAAGGCGATTCTGCTTTTGCAACACCTTGGCCGCTTTGTTTTCGCTTGAAGGAAAGGAGGACTATTCGTTTAGGCTGATAACAGCTTACAAGATCGTATCTAATGGGACTATGGTATATCGAGTGTTATAATCTATTCGAAGACACACCTAACGCGTCTTCTCACACACACTACCGAAGTAAGAAACAGAGAAGAACACTTTATCGCGGATGTCTCCAGTCTTGTGAGGTCGTTCAATCCGCACAACTCAAGTCTGATACGTTAGGTGAAATATAGCCCACCAACCAGGATCTATGGCAATACAATTAGGATTCTCATTTCTCTTCTACACGTCAGCGCCGCGGAAGTTTCGATATCGCTACCTAACCACCAACAGTTCGCATTCTTATATCCGCAATCATGTCGTCTTCGAATTAATGCGCATCGGGATTAATAGTCGTACGTCAAATAGTCGTGTTTTCCTATACCCCGTAACTAAAGAGTCTCGAGCACGACATAGACACGGCATATGCAGCTATCACGGCTACCGGCACTTCTCGGAAGCCTGTCACCCAGTCTAGCCTCAACACCACGATGCACGGCCTCCTTACTGACACCTGCGCCACAACATGCATCGTCACTGTGGCGCATGGCTGTCTTATTCGCTGCCCACTCGATGAATATGGTCTTGGTGAACGATTAGTACGGCGGCTTAGTCGAATTTTATGGACGAGGAATGTGCCGATACCCTGTATTCGGTCCTTGTTTGCGTCGTAAGCTGCTTTGAGTTTGTGGCTGGGGAGCAGTTAAATGTATGAGGGTTCGCCCACCTTTTTGTCCAGCCACAAAGAACAGCCACACCTCCAGTTTCTAATCCTACTACAACCACGAGAGCATCTTCACGAGAAAGAAACAGTGCAGCTTCTTACCACGAAAGTATTCACACACCACCTAAACAATGCCATCAAGCACAGTCAGTCTCCCTATCCCCATCCCTTCTTCATCCCTCTCCCAACCATCCCCCTCATATCTGACCAATCGCAGTCGACAGTCCTACTCTACTTCCTCGCAATATGGATCCCCTTCCTTCCCGTCGCTATGAAGCGTGGTTGCGCCGCTGATCTCTTTATCAACATCGCGCTCTGCATCCTCGGCTGGATCCCTGGTGTCATTCACGCGTGGTATATTATTAGTCAGACGGAGAAGGTGGCTGTGGCTTGAGAGGTTAGGGAGTGTGAAGGGGCGCAGGAAGGTGAATCGCGGTAAGGAAAGGGCGTTGAGGTGAACTGCGGAGCACCGCATGCATTGTTTTGATACAGAGGAGCCAAGAAGTAATTCTTGAAATTTGGATTCATAAAAAGATTTTGTTCCTGAACATCGTGTTGCTAAAACTCGAGTGGCAGCGGGATCTAACTGAAGTACGCAACCGTGCACCACCCTGAACCGTTGAAGCTCCTTCCGTCATCCCGAAAACCCCCCAAACTCCACACGTTTGCTGCAGCCCAACGTCATCAGTCCACCAACCCACCAACCCACCAACCCACCATCTCATCTATACCCAAACCGCTTTGGTTCTGAATCACACTTATCGCATGCGCACAATGTCATCCGACTACGGATCGGACATTGACTCCGACGTCGCCGATGTCGTCGACGAGATCGTCTCGTCGCAGCAAGCTCCCCCTTCCTCCGCGCAAATACCACGACCTGCGCTAAAGCCACTCAATACCAATACATCTGTCACCCCGCCGTCATCCCATGAGAAATCAAACGAAATCACGCTTCAGCAATGGCACCAAGCTGCCTCAACGCCGCCGCCCTCGGCCTCATCATCAGATGCCGAACCCTATCGCCTGACGTTTGGCAAACATGAGGGCAGGACGCTTGCGGAGATACCGACGTCTTATATTACGTGGTTGATTAGGAATCCGATTTCGAGTAGGCCGATGGAGTTGATATATGCGTTGGAAGAGTGGCAGGAGGAGAAGAAGAATGGGAGGAAGGCGGCATCGCAAGCGTCGCAATCGCAAGCATCCCAATCACAAGCATCGCAGGCGCAGGCGTCGCAGATGTCGATGTCGTCGCAAACGCAAGCTACATCTTCGAAGATGCCGCTCTCTCGGCCGTCATCTCAAGCCTATCAGGCCTCTCCTCCATCATCACAGCCTCCGATCACGAGCACGCATGTCTCTAAATACACAAATCCTCCTTCGCCTTCTCGCTCGCCGTCACCACCGCCTAGCACACAACAGTCATATCCCCCTTCGTCACAGCCCACGGCACCTCAAGAATTGCCTGATGGTCCCCTATACATACTCCCTTTCGGCGAGTACAAGGGGAAGACTCTGCTCGAGGTACCAGAGGATTACCTCTACTATCTTGGTGCGAGCGAAGACAAGTTGGCTACTTTGCCTGGTTTGTCTGATGCGCTCGGCTTAATGCAGAAAGGTCTACCTCCAGTCGCTATGGCATCCACGGCCCCAAGTCAGGCTTCTTCGCAGGCTCTACCACCACCATCATCTGAACCGCCTGCATCTAGTCAGCTCTCACAGATGAGCCAACCACAGCAGGCTCCACCACCACCTTCCACTGCGCCCAGCCATTATTCCCTCTGTAAAGACGACATGCCGAATAGTTCGCAACCTCCCGCACCGCAGCTCTCTGCGTCGCAACCTGCTCCGCAGCCTCCCTCCTCTCAACCTCCACCCCGCAAACAATCATACCGTTTCGACTTTGGCAAGCACGAAGGCAAAACCATCGCCGAAGTCCCTCCCGACTACATGGCCTTCCTGAAAAGCAAGGGGTTCACCGAGACAAACGAGACACTGGCTGCAGGAGTTGCAGAGTACGAACGCCACCACCCACCCATCGGGACGCCGCGCAAGGGCGAATACAAATTCACGTTCGGCAAGCATGAAGGAAAGACTGTGGCACAAGTGCCTCAGACCTACATTTGGTTTATCAAGAACAAAACTACGATTATGAAGGATAAGCCAGAGGTGGGCGCTGCGATTCGGCAGTTTGAGCGGACTCAAAAACGGACGGAGACTAAGGCTCAAAATCGTGGTCGTCGTAGGGCTTGGTCTCCGATGTGCTCATGTTGTGATTGAGCGCCCATTGCAAGAATGCCTTGCTCCTCGTCCACAGGAACAATACCCAGGCGAATCACGGTCTCCAGTACTGCTGTGAGTAGTAAACGTCATTGCGGGCGCTTCCAGAAGAACGGTAAACCCAAGCTCGCGCTTGAGGTCAATTCGAAACGCATACACAATCTGGTAGATCACAACATCTTCTGGCTTGTATCTTGTCTGTCATGTTTCCGAACACGACCAGGCAGTGCGCATTCGAGGGTTCGGGTGGCTCCTCCACGCTGGTTCAGGGCGGCACGTCAAAGCGATGAACCACCAGGCCATGTCTAGTCCGCGGACGGCCTATGCTACAACCTTACTGCGCTGCAGACTGATACGACTAGAGTACGACACTGTTGCATCATGTCACGCCTCGCTGCTATTGTCGTGCGACATGTCCCTTTGTCAGCCATGATTGGGTCCATCACATGTCTGCTCCCGTGGGTATGCACTAGTCCCACTAATTGCGATGCGCACATCACTGGCATCAGGCCGGATTACTTTCGTTCAACAAGCACGTACGCACGTCACGATTCTTGCTCACGCTAGGAGCTCTTGTACCCAGGGCAAACCTATGTCGCTGAGACTCTACAACACTCGTCTCAGCTTTTCGATTGCCAAGTCCTTCCGTGACCCCACGAGCCGACCCTTGGAAAAACTTTATCCTTGTAGGTAAAGCTCTACACTGTGCAGATAGTTTATTTGGTCCTTGATATAATGCCTGTGGAGTGGATGGATGTCACAGTTGTCGTTTGTCATCTTAACAGATTCGCGAACGACAGTTGTGACATCCGCTCACTAGTCAGGCATCAAGCCTGGGACCAAGCCGGTGACCAGGTGAAGGGTGTAAGAGGGTTACATGGTTTCTACACAACGAGCTTCGTACGTAAGCTGGAAACAGCAAAGTGTGAGTTGCTCATACCAACAACATGTCCAGGTCGTGGTCTTCATGCATCTGATAGCCATACCATCCTTCTTTGCTACGCGCCAGCCACCGCCTTATGCCATTGGACGCGCTGAACAGGGAGCGCGAGAATGTACACGAGAGGCTGGGCTGGCGCTAGACATTGCGAGGCTAGGCGGCCTGTTGCTCAGCCGCAGCCACCGAGGCGGAGGCGTCTGATCTCCAGCCTTGCGACCCCGCAGATTAAAACCAGCGTCCGCCGGCTTCAAGGCCATACCGTCCGCTCTCGGCTTATTTTTTCCAGCTCAGATCCTATAGCATGGCTTCTGATAGCGCGACACCAACGGGACCTTCCACTCTCGACTTCTCTTCTTGGTTCAAGTCCTGTATCACTGCTTTTGGTTGCGCGACAAAAAAGGGACCTAATTCGAACGCATCCCAACAAAACACGAGCAGAAGATGTCCAGCCACAGAACGACTTACTGATACCCCTACGATCAAGTTCGCGCGGTTCAAGAACGCGACTTTGGAACTTTTTGAGGCGCCCATCGAGTCCACCGATTACATTGCTTTCTCTCACGTGTGGGGCGACTGGGCCTGGCGTTCAATCGATGGTATACCGTACGAGGTGAAAGCATCGCAAGAGAAAGCACAGTTCATCGCAAGCGATCTCCCCGCTTTGGTAGGCGACTGTGCCTTTTGGATGGACACGTTGACTGTCGATCAACGAAACCCAGTTGAAGTCTCAGAGATCGTGGATGTCATTCCCGATATCTTCAGGATGGCCAGAAAGACGATTGCAGTCAAAGAGTGCGACGGATTGTATGATTGCTGCATTGCTGCGGTTGCTGGTTTCGAAACCGCGGACGAGTTTGCCAGCAAATTTAATGATCACAGCATTGCGCATACTCACTATGTCTGCGCAGAGTCGTACCTCCAGAGATTATGGACGCTGCAGGAGTGCTTACTCTCTCATACGATTGAATTTGTGGTTGGAAGCGACAGTATGTCACAGCATGTTTTTGCTTTTTGCTCGTGGTTGACCAAAATTCAGACCAACCCAAGAAGCTCGCGGTGCGGGAACAGGCTCTCGGCGACAGTGATTTCTATCGACACCAGACGGATGTTGGGACTATCACGCTGAATCTTAAGAAGCTAGCCTACTCTTTCTGCGGTTCGCAGAGCAACACCTTCATAGACGAGTTCGTGAAAGCTTATGTCCATGGCGGGACCGTTGTTAATCCACGTAGCGCAAAGCGCAGCCAACATGAAGACATACACTCGGGTGGTTTTCTACTGGCGAATCGAGCATCGCCTAGATCCGCTACTATGCCCTGCGACTACATCTTCGCGACCATGCCATCTTTTCCATGGTATACATATCCGAAGAAAGAGGCTTTGTCGATGTCGTTTGGAGAAATTTATTCAGATCTTTATCAGCAAGCTGAACGATCTGGACATGCTTTTACATGCAGGCTCACTCGATCGATGCTTGATCCCATGTGCACAGATCCCACAGACGGTTGGCTACCAAGCCAATATCTTCCCAGTCCGACGACGCTCGGCGATTTCCTGAAACTGATGGGCAATCGCGTACCCAAAGCTTCCAATGCTACTTCACCGCACGTGCACATCACATCGGATGTGCAGATTATGGAACTAGAAAGCAAATGCCTGCCAGACATTCTCATCGCCAGGCTAGAAGCTTGTTTCGAGCAGTCGCGAACACCATGGATTGAGTCTTTCACAAGTGGTGAGCTTCCAAAACTCGGGAAATATCCTAGTCATCGTTGGACGGTCAATCACGCTGATGCCGCGAGGTGCGGTTGGGTTCCCATTAACCCAGAGTATGCAGCACAAGTGTACGACGATGGCGATCATACTCGGACGAGAACCGACCCCAGACTAGAATTCGAGGAAGGCGATTGTTTAGTGGACATCAGTAGCCTAGACGAGACTGAGCTAGAGGCCAGCATGGATGAGGCTGGTGGACACGTACCACTCTTTGCGCAGGCCAGGAGAATCCTTGTCCGTATGTGGTTCGCATATGAGGGGCAAAGCCGCCCTGGAGCCCAGCAAGAAGAGTGGGCAGACTTCAAGCGGTCTATGCAAGATCTCTGGTCAACACCACTATTACATACCGTACTCCTCCTAGCTGGTATGGTCAACTGTCGCATCCCATTATCCGCCGCAGCATGGGTCAACAAGCTCTTCATCCCCGTCTACATTCGGCACAACGAAGATCTTCTTTCCGTCGGTCTCTTGGCAAAGCACGCACGTCGGCCTAAACAACAGCGAAAATACCCTCTTCATCTACTGTGCGTTGGCCAACACCTGCCCTCGCCCCACGAGAAGGCTTTTGGACAGGACTTGTTTCTTGTAGATACGGAAACCAAGGTGCCGGTTGGCTTGGCCCCCGATTTGTTCCATGAAAGATACAATGATGAGGCATCCGTAAGAGTCGCAATTTCTTTGTATAATGGCTATTTTACGGATTTAGGAGACAACAAACTAGACATCGGCCCCCGTCTGCTCTCTGATGAGCCGTCTGTTCCTAGAGAGGCGTGTGTCGATAATGTCCAGTAGGCGGTGGAGTGTGGTTGCCAATGACGGGAATGTGTACAGCTGTCGAATAAAACTGAAAAACTCAGAGATACTCTCCTCTGTGTACGATGTGCGGTAGAAAGTCCCGATTAACTCCGATGAATCCAGAGTACTTTAGCGCGCTCTTGAACGCCCTCTGTCCGGGGTTTCTCTACACCCCAACCATTCACTGTCATTCCGGAGAAAACATGTTCCGAGCAACTAACTACTCGCAACCGCTCCACGACCGTTTGCTCAACCGCTTCTCACTCAATCGCTCCTCCCTCAACCGCCTCTCACTCACCCCGCAGCTGCAATGTCGGGACCAACCTATACACGTCGTGGAAATTCACTCCTTCCTCGTGGTTATCAACTCTCTGCAAATCAGCCCACTCCAGCGAACAGTAAGTGCGCACCCTATCCTTGCGTTCTACATACCCTTGCTGATTATGCACCCAGAGATGGCAGTTGAGAAACAACATAACTTCATGGGTCCCGCGTCGAACGTGTCTAGTAATCCGTTCCACAAACCGCGCCCTATCGAGTCGGAGTCCGCCGAGAAGCTTGAGGCGCAGAAGGCCGACTACGAGGCCAGGATCGCCGACATGAGCAAAGTGTCCCAGGCCAACTTAGAGAACACTATCAAGGACTACGAGGCAAAGCTCAGCGAAAAGGAGAAACTCCAAGAGATTGAGATCGAACGCGTGAGGGATTTCATCAAGCATGATTGCGTCGAGATAAAGAAGAAATCCGAGATCAAGCTCAACGACCTCGCCGAGAACTACGAGGCCAAGATTGCCTATATGGAGGCCGAATCGCAGTCCAAGCTCGAGAAAACCATCAGGAAATACGAGGCTGAGCTCATCGAAGAGGAAAAACACGGCGATTGGCTGCTCCAAGAAATGAGGAAGGGCCATGAGACCGAAATCGCCGAGATCAAGGAGAAACACGCACTAGAGTCTGAAGCCGCGACCGAGGACTACGAGGCCGATCTCGGCAGGCTCAATCAGAGCTCCGCGATTCTGCAACGTGCTTTCGCCGACCAGAGCTTGGAACTTGCGGAGCTCAAGGAAATGAAGACTAAAAAACCTGAAGTTGCTGAAGGAAAAGATACGAAGGTGCTCACTGACGAGAAGGCGAACGTCGATGACAAGCATGTGGACGTCAACGACAAAACCGCGAACGCCGACAAGAAGCCCGAAATCGACGCCCTCAAAGGCACCATCGACGCCCTCAAAGATACCGTCGGTATACAGATGGTGGCTGCAGATGATCTCCGCGAGACCGTCAAGGACCTCCGCGAGCGTGTCGCAAAGCTCGAAGCAGAGCGTTAGAAGTAGTACAACGAGCTGCGACAGGTCGGCGCTGGCACTCTCATGACAATTGGGTAACCATGGATATTCTCGATGTAGCTACAAGATGTTCGTAGAATATGAAAATGCTGTGACTAATCTCGGGGTCTTTTGACGACACCGTGAATCACGTAAAATCTGATGTGCAGCGTGGATGTATCAAGCCGACGCCTAGTCGTAAAGACGCTGCGAAGATTGGTAGACTCCCCTATATATCGACGAAACTGATAGATATGGGACCGCACGTGCGAGTCGCTTAACGTACAGAGTCAGCAGTGACAACTGGTCTTACACAATGGCAGCTAATACATAAGGACTATATCTTCCTCCTCTACCGCATAACACTAGCAGAAGCATCTCCAAACTTGCGCTCATATCTCAAACTTGAAGGTGAAAGAGATTTAATTAGCTCCTCGCTTGATCCGCTGCGCACTGTCAGATCCCAGCTTTTCCTGCGTCCGTTTCTCCCTCCACCGACTCCGGGTCACTGGTTCCTCCGCACCACAAAGCCGCTTAAAAACCCATCCAGCCAAGTCGAGCGACCGCACCAGGCCTACTGTACCGCCATCTCGGCTGCGAATCTTCGAGATCTCAGACGAGGTTTCGACTATCACAGTGACCCCCGACGCATCCCACTACTTCACCGACACCAACCGCCTACAATGACCACGATGAACACCACACCTTTACTCAACACGTGTACCGCCGCATTCAACGCCATTGCTGCTCGGGTACAAGGCGCGGATAAGGACGATGAGGACATTCTCGAGCGGGATGAAGAGACGGACGATGAGGCGAGCGGCGACGAGGCCATCGGCGAATCCGATGAGCGCGATGTTGAAGACATGAGCGACGACCACGGCTCATCAACACCGAGCGTCAAGGCCCCGGTAGTGTCTCTAGACTCTAACGACACAGCGTTCAAACAGGACATACTGGACCCGGAAGACCTGCCTGCCTTCGGTAAGTCATTATACTAGAGTCCCAGTCTTTCGCACGCATCACGTATTATTACTGACAACTTTGACTTAGGCGACGATCTAGATGCCACCAAATGGATGAAACTCGCACTCTGGCAAGAAGGCGGATACGAGGGCATGCTGAAAGTACTTTTGAAGGATGAGATCGTGGCTCATTGTCACGGCTCCGCTACAGCTTCAAACTCCGATGAACAGTGCATCCTCGCTCCGGCGCGCATGATGGTCGCTTCTATGGATAAGGACATTCTCAAGGCCGTCGTACGCAGTAATCTGGCTCTCCAAGCGAAGAGCAACAGTGTCATCAAGGACCGCTTGGACGACTTGTATGCTGAAGCCAAAGACAAACCATCAATCTACTACCAGCTCTTCGTCGACGACAACGGCCATTCTCCTACGCCACACGAACTCATCACGATCCTGGACACCATGGAAGAATACGTCAATGCTACAAACCATACCCTCGCGAACGAGATCGACAACGTCAAGGAACCGCACATCGATCTGCTCAAAAGCCAGAGTGGCTTTAGGAAGTACACATGAACCAGCTCAGGAACAAAGAAAGACCACGCATACCGCGAGTTCCAGTCCGCCGCCAAGGTCAAGGAAATCACCCGCCTGATCGAGAAGGTACGAGCGCGACTAAGCGGTTTACCATATCAGTACCACAACAAGCCGTTGGAGCATCCACTCGTCCAAGTCGGATATTCAGCTCGCTCCCAGGCCCGCCTCAAGAAGCACGCCAACCACTCTCGCTCCATCCCCGCCATGAACCTCGCCTCAGCAATCGCTGCCGTACTCTTCACAAACAACACTCTTCCCAAGCTATACAAGATGAACCAGTACATCATCTACATCTGCCACACCGCGTCCCACGCTTCTCTTTCCGAAATCGTATTGACACGACTCGCGGAAGGCTACATGGGCAACGGAGGAGGATTCAGCCACTATCCCGCAGCCCGAAGCGCTGCCTCTGCGCTCAAGACTTCGGAGCAGGAATGGGACAAGTGTGCTCAGTATGCGATTGAGCGGTCGCCGCTGAGGAAGAACCTAAAGAGCGATTGCGAGAGGTTGAAGAAGAAACTTGCGGATGCGAGGAAAAGGAATTCGAGTCCGCTTATGAAGTCCGCTGATCGCGCGTTGCTGGCAAGAGCGAAGGAAATGAATGAGAGGACAAAAGCTAGGCGGTCGGAAGAGGATCCAGAGATACACCAGAAGGCTGCCGACATCATTGCAGAGTTTCGTAAACGGCATCCGATCCCGGAGGACGAGGCAAGTGTATGAGCATTCGAAATTGTATGGATGGTGGAACTGAGAGCGTGGAAACAAAAGCGATGATTTGAGCCTTCGCTCATTAACACAGCGATGGAACGACAGTTGTGCAATGTAGATGAATAAAAGATCCCGAATCAATTGATGGTGCTATAGTTTCGGACAGTGTCGAGAGTGACACGTTAACCTAATAAAAAAAGGACACCATAGAGCCTACGTGGACGTTAGAGTAACTACTTTGTGAGTTTTTATCTTACTGTAGTCTATAGACTTATTCAGTATTATTTATATATTAAGTAGTAAGATGCCTACGTTGACGTTAGGTTACCCACTTTGCAGGTTTTCGTCTTGATGTAACCTGCAGACCTGTTTAATGTTTTTCGTGTATGAAGTGGTGGAATGAATGTAAGAAGAACAACGACGTGAATATATCCATGAGTAAAGCGAGTGAAGTAAATGAAGAGGAGATATTCTTGCATTGGTATTGAGTACATCTAGTCGTCTCGTTGTCCAAGTTCCTTCCTTGTCCCACCTATTTCCATGCCTTCCACCCCTCTTATTTACCCTACTATACCATACACCTCATGTACATCCGACATATATTTTGTTCCCTTGAGCTATCCGCCCTGGTCTATCTAGATATACAGCGAGCGCATTTTGGTGTCGTCGGTATGCGTAAAGTACATGCCCATCCATCTCCCCATGGCGAGATCAACCACCAACCAAACCAGTCCAAAAACTCCAAAGAATGCAAGCCGAAGCCATACCTATAATCCAAAAGAGAAAGCGCATCAGATTCGTGAGACGCTGCTGCTAACATGTCTGCAGATATGATACAGATCGTTATCGCGCAAACAACAGCACTTTTTGTGGTATGTATACTTTTGGCGTAGCTTCGTAACAATATGAGACAACGTCAGAAACATGACATAGCAGGTTTAACGCTTCCTGGGGTTTGTCGGCTTCTTTTTCGACGGTGTCTTCTGCGCGTCTCCCTCAATGTACTTGAGGAGATCCTCGATCTTGCGCTGGTCGACGCGGCCGCTTCCAGTGCGCTGGCTACCGGCGGCGGCAGCGGCATCGCTAGCGGAAGGAGTGGCGGCAGCGGGTCGCAGGGGGTTGCGGCCGGGGAGCTGCATGCGACGGATACGCGTCTTGGCGAGGTCGTTGAGCTGCTTGGCTTGAGAGACAGCGCTGTGGGTGAGCTGTTCGAGCCAGCTCTCGGCTTCCTTGGTGTTGCGGTCCTCTGCACCGAGCACCTCCTTGAAGATGTTGTAAGACTCGCGCATGCGGTTGACACCACCGCGCATGTCCTTGTCGAGGGCCAGAGCTTGGGCGGTCTGGAACAGCAGAGTCGCTGTGTTGATCGAGTTCTTGCCGCAGACCTCCTCGCAGACGGCGAGCGAGGCCTCGAACCAGAGTCGCGACTCGTGGTACATCTTCGCGGCCTGCAGCATGACAGCGGCGTTGTTGAGAGTTGTGATGGAGTCGGGGTGGTCGGGGCCGTAGAGGATCTTCCACAGCTCAAGCGCGTGACGGACGTAGATCAGAGCGGCAGTGGTGTTACCCGAACCGTGCTCGAACAGACCGACGTTGAGGTAGGCAAGCACAGTCTCCGAGTGATCGACACCGAGAGTGCGCTCCGACACGATGATGGCCTTGTGTGCGAGCTCAAGAGCCGAGACCTTGTCATCAAGGCTGTAGAGCAGGTTCGACAGGGTGTGGTAAGCCTTGGCGACCTCAGGGTGCAGCACACCGTAGATCTGCTCGTGTAGCTGGAGAGACTCCAAGAGCAGTTCTTGGCCAAGCTCCTTCTGGTCCTGGGCAATGGACATGCGACCTGCCTCCAGTGCCTCCTCAGCCAACAAGCTCTTAGGTGAAGCCTCCTTGATGACAGGGACAATGTTCAGAATGTCGTCTGCGTGGAAGGTTTGTGGAGCAAGAGGAACAGTAGGGCTAGCCGTGCGGGCTGGTGGGGTGCTGATGGACTTGTTCTTCTTCTTCTTGGAAGATGTGGAGTGACCGTTGGTCTGCGGCGCAGCGGGCTTCTCGGCCGGCTGGCTGGCGGCAAAGGCCTCTTTAGTGAAGGCGTACGACTTGCATTCCAACTGGAGACCAAGCTTGAGGGAAACCTCACGGAGCATCTGCATCTCCTTGCCAGACTCGATCCACGACTGACCGAGATCGTAGCGGAATCGTAGGGCAACCTGAGCTACGACCTCCTTCTTGAGGGCCTCAGGTGTGAGCTTCTCAAAGCTAAAGTCATCCTCGGGGTACATCTTCTTGAGGCTGCTGTCGCACTCAGCCACAGGCTTAGCGCTAACATCGGCTCCGAGCAAGCAGTTGAGGAGATGGGCGGCTGCGGGTGCTGCGAAAGGCGCAGACACGTTGCGCAGTTTGGAGTTGGCAAAGTGCTTGAAGCCACGTGCAATCATCTCCTGGATGATGAGACGCTTCAAGGCCTGAAGCCTTGGGTCAGGCTTGTCAGCCAGCTCAGCAAGCTTTCCAAGGTAGCGCATGTTCACACCCCGCTTGTGCAGAAGGTTGCTCAGGGACTGGCCGTCCATTGGGAAACCAACTTCGCCCTCCTTGAGCTCCTGGACCATGCGAGGAATGACCTCCGAAGTGAGGTGCTCGCAAGCAGCGCGGACCTCAGCCTCGTCCTGAGCCCACTCCTTCTTGTCCTCCTCTGATTGCGGGTTCTGGCCCGAGAAAACATCAGGGTTGAGCGCGAAGGAGAATCCGGAAATGTCGACACGCTCCTGCTCAGGGTCTTCGGCCTCAGGCTTCTTCTCCTCGGTCTCCTTCTTGGCAACCTTGGCAGCCTTCTCCGCGGCCTTCCTCTCCGCCTTGGAGATTTTCTTGGCCTTGGGCATCTTCTCCTTCTCTTCATCAGAGTCCTCCTCTTCCGAAGAAGACTCCTCCTCAGATGACTCCTCTTCCGAAGATTCCTCCTCAGACGAGCTCTCTTCAGCCTTGGCCTCCTTCGCAGGGGTTTCGTCCTTCTTTGTGGTCTTCTTGGCCATCTGCTCCTTGACGTACTCGCGGAGCTTGACCCTGCCGTATGACTCTACGAGCTCAGGGCGGAGAGTTGTCATGCGGTGGGGGTAGTCCTTGTCTGTCGCCTCCTTCTCGCCCTCCTTGCTGGGCTCGGTCCAGTGTGCCTCTATCCAGGCAACATCGAGAGGTGTGAGGCGGTAGAGGTCCAGAGCGTACCGCCTGCCGTCGGTGCCGATCAGACCCTTAGTCTCAACACTTCCCTCCAGCTCGTGACGGACATTGTCCTTGTCCCAGACAGGATGCTTCTTGACGCGCAGCGCCTTGGAGAGCTGCTCGAACAGAGGGACGAACGACTTGTCATCGGCGACAATCTCCTTGCCCTCAACCGCACCGTAATCGATCTGGTGCTCGCCGGGGTCGCGCTGCTTGAAGATACCGGGCACTATGCTCTGGCCAACAATGCGCTTTCCTTGGTAGTCGACGACGACGGTTCCGGAGGTGAAGAGGTTGTTGATGTCGAGGTTGTTCACAGCGCGGACACCGAAAACGTCCTTGCCCACAGCCACGCGCGCAGCCTCGTCACCGCCCTCAGCGCCGAATGTGCCTACGCCATCAGCGCCGAAGGAGTAGAAGATGTTGTTGTACACGAAGATCTGCGCATCCTTGGCCTCGGTAGGGTTGAGAGGCGCAATCTCGCCCCGTGCTACCAGCATGGCACCGCGGGTCGCGGCATCGTTGTAGTCGGCAAACAGCTTTGACGTGAGGCGCTCGCGGAAGACGCGGTCGTGGACAGCCTCCTTGGGCATCTCCCTCGTCGACTGGAACTCCTCATTCCAGTCGCGGAGGGTCTCGGTGTTCTCAACACCCGAGATCAGATAGCTCTCCTGTGTCCGCGCGAGATCCGGCTGGTGTGGGGTGAGGGATGACGTGGGTGCGGGGACCAACCATGGGTTGGCGGGGATGGCGTTGGAGAGCTGGAAGATGGTAAGTAGCTCCTTCTTCGCATTGTGCTCGAGCAATTCCTGGAACGAAGCGCGGAAAGATGGCGACAGGTCCTCGAGGAGGGTGAGGAGCGAGTGTGCCTGCTTGTCCTTTGGTGGCTGGCGCGGGAAGGGGTCGAAACTGGCATTCGACGACTTGTTGACATAGAAGCCGGAGACGTGAGCTGTGATGTGGTGCTGCTCGTTCTCGTTGGTCGTAACTACCAGGTACAGCAGGTGGCCCTTGGAGCGGAGGTGGTATGGCGGGGGATTCCAGGGCGATACGGCGATGGATTTGATCGTCTTGGGCGCGGCTTCCTCGGTGGGCGGCAGCAGGTTCTTGATGTTGCCCGATGCCTTGAAGTCGTAGTCCGCCAACGGCGACTGCTCCGGGCCGTCCTGCTTGGGCTTGGAGATCTGCTCGTGGCCAACAGTGTCGTGCAGTGACAGACCAGCCATGATACCGTGCAGCGCATCGGTACGGTCACCGGCGGCGCCGATGAGCTCGCGTACGCGGACCACATGTAACCGCGCCTCCTTCTCTGTGTATGGGTCCTCCACCAGGGTGAGTACCGAATCGGCCTTCAGTCCCTCGACTTCAGAGAGTTCGACGTAATCGTTGATCCGCTTGCCGTCGTGCTCCAAGTGGAAGCACGAGTACTGGAACGTGTGGGGCGTCTCGATGATGCTCTGACGGAGGTCTTGCACCTGCTCGGCGGTTGAGATCTGGAGTCGTGAGTTTGTCGTCTATATTTTCTTTTCTAACTCTCAATACGCACCGTTATCGGCATCTCGAACGGCTCGTGTGGGAGCTTGATGGTGACCTGGAAGATGTCTACGACATTAGTAGATATTTCCTACACATGATAAATCAATTGACATACTGTCTGGCTGCTGGCCAGCGCCATCTTCCTCTGTGCCCTCATTCTGCCCCTCTGTGGTGACGTCTTTGCTGGGCGTCTTCTCGACCTCTGCGTTGCCATTGATGTTAGCCATGGGGTGCAAAAAGAGTTATTGCGCCTGGGAATAAATTTCCATCGCGGTCGTGTGCGGGCGGGAAGCTCACCAGACTTGGAAGCGTCATTGGTACTAGCGGCCATGATGGCGGGCTGTGGATATGTCGAGAAACACTACGACGCCGGGAAAGAACGACTGGGGAAAGAGGGAATCGGTCTAGGGAAGGAAGGAGATATACAGGAATGGCGCATTAATGTACAATGACATGCGGCGAGTGATGGGGAGAGAGGTGACTCTCCGGTCATGTCTCCAGAATATTTTTCTTGAGGGCGCCGGGATGGTCCGCTAAGCTCGCTCTCCACTTCCGAGGCCACAGGCATGTCATCGGGAAAACGGCCCCCATGCACCGGGGGTCAGCAATATCGCGTTGACTCCGGAGTACTGGAGTCGCCATGTCCTACACGCCGTCCACGGGTGTCTGTCTTCACGTCGGTTATCGATATGGTGATTGACGCGAGTTCCACCATGCTGTCACCACGGTCGCTCCTGCCGTTCGCACTTGGCACTCGCACTTGGCCCCTGCGGCAAATTATCGCAACACCAGCGTAACAAGGCCGCGGTACCTCCTTTGGCGTCCCTCTCCTCCAATCTCGTCCCGTCCATCTCAATCATCTCTCCTTTCACGCGTCTGTCTCTCGTTTAACTCTCATTCATTCCTTTCCTAGTCCATTCCACGTCTGTTGAACCTCTGGCTGCGCCTACGTTTGACACGTGTAACATTGGAAAACACGCGACACCAACGTGACTTGGAACGCGCCAGCGCAATAATGTTAATGCTACGACATATCACACGCGCTCATGCCGCGTTGACACGACAACCTTTCGCGTATCGGTCTCAGCAGGCTGGCCCGGTACTGCAAAGAACAAGGTTATGCCAGCCCTCTTTGGCGCGCGCTCTGAGTGGCCAATCCGGTCCTCCGACTCCTGGCAACGATGCGCCAAACCCCATTGACGACGCTGCAGAGCGTCTGGAGGAAGAGGAAGAGCAGCAAGAGGAGAAACGCGAGAAAAAGAAGGCAGAATGGAAAAGCACAGCCTGGAAGATGTTTGAGGCTGCTGCTACTACCGGAGCCAGCATCTTCATCCTTGGATGCGTCGGCATCGGGTATACTAAGTACTACAAATGGAACGTGCTTGAAAAGATGGAGAACGCTTTTCGGGAAGGCGATCCTGTATTAGAGCTTGCAGCTACTGGAAAGGAGATGCCGAAAGCGGGTGAGCCTACTCGACTACAAGTCAGCAAGGACCTGGACGGTGATGATAAAGACTATGATCGCTGGATTCCACGTGATGAGCAGGAAAGGATTGACAAGATCGTCTGGGGCGAGACAAAAGGACGTTACCATCTCCTTCTTGGCGAGAAAGGGACTGGGAAGACTTCCATGCTCATCGATGCCATGGATAAGATCAATGGTGAGGGATGCTCGATGATGGAAGCCCATGCAGATCTCGAAGTCTTCCGTGTACGGCTAGGTCGCTGTCTCGATTTTGAGTACCACGAAGACAACATCGGATCGCTTTTCTCTATCCGCGGTCCACGCGATGCGGGCGCCATCCTTGACATTGAGCGTGCGTTCAACAAGCTCGAAAAAGTGGCTTTGCGACGACGCGCGACTGTTGGACGACCGCTCATTCTCATCATCAATTCCGCACATTTGATTCGAGACAACGACGACGGTAGAGACCTTCTCGAACTCATCCAACAGCGAGCGGAGCAGTGGGCGGCCGCCAACCTCGCAACCGTCATCATCAACTCCGACAAGTACTGGGTATTCGAACGTTTGAAGCAGTATGCGACCCGCATGGAAGTGCATCAGATCAAGGACCTGAGCAAAGACCGCGCCATGCAAGCCTTGAGGAACTACCGAATGAAGTACTACGGCGAGAAGGTAAAAGACTCCATCCTCGAAGAAGTATATGACAAAGTCGGCGGACGCCTCACCTTCCTCAATCGCGTCGCCAAGTCAGAAGACATGGTCGCAAAATGCAACAGCATCTGCGAAATGGAAAAGATCTGGTTCCTAAACAACTGCGCGATTCTCGGGGAGGAGATGGACGACGATGTCATGGACCAGCAGAAATACGCTGTACGTATACAAACATTCGTCTATCAATATGTCTGACTAACCCACACAGTCCACAGCCATGGTCCTAGCCAACGCCCTCTACAAACTCTACCACGACATGGAATCAACCTACGACCCAAAAGAAGGCCACATCCTGCCTTCCTTCCCGCTGCACCGCGCCCGCTTCATCATGACGCGTTCCGACTTCATCCGCCAGCACCACGACCTCTCCATCTTCTCCATCGACTCACACGCCGTTGTCCGCGCCGACTCTGTGCCCATGCAACGCGCCTTCAACGAGATCTGCGCCGAGCCCGGCTTTGAAGACTTCCTGGAAGCGACGCTCGAGCGTATCGGTGCGATTGAGAGTCTCGGCAGGACCAAGGAACTTACGTTCAAGGATCTTTGGGAGGGGGGCAAGTATCGTATTGTGCAGAAGGATGGAAAGGGCAAGGTGCAGGGTGAGGTGGAGATGGAGACTGTGCCTGGGAAGGGGGATGATGATGACGATGATGAGAAGGATGATTGAATAAGAGGTTCGTTAAGATGTTAGAACGACTGGCTATTATGCGTTTGGATGTACGATATGGGTATGGGCGGCTGGTCTGAATCTGCGTGGCGCTGGTGTCTACTGGGAAGCCACGATACCCTAGAATGTCAGTTTCCTTATCTATCTCCCTTGTCATGTTGCAATCTCTAGTGAGAGGAATGGCGGTGGTTTGCTGCCCCACTCTGGCTCAGCACACATCGCTAAAAACTCCGATATCTCTTTTCAATCTACTCAAGTCTGTTCAAAATCACCTGGGCTTTCTGCTCAGCCCACCATGAGACTCTATTTAACGCTCATAGCTGTCGTGGCTTCGATCGCTCTTACCCAAGATATAGCCAGCGATGAGCCTACCAAGGTACACGTCCTATGGGAACCTGAGAAGGTCGCGGATGACGCAGAATGGGCTGCAGCCCGCCAGAAGGGAGATGATTTGATATGTCGACTCGAAGCCACGGACGAAGCTGCTGGTAGACTAAATATGGACACACGAACACCGCCTTCGGCGCGCAATCAATGGCCCGATGCCGCGCTCACAAGTGAGATAAGTCTCTGGGGTTGGTTTACTGGCGAATATGACCAGAAATCGCATTGCCAATTTGCCGATGATAACGAAGATTACCATGTCAACAAGGTCGGTACGTCGATTGCGCGAGGGCGTTCATTCCTATTCCTCCTTGAAAGTCTTCAGGGTTGGATATCGTTCTTGATAGATACTGACCTTTTATAGGAACTATGTTCCAGGATCTTGGTATCAATTCCAGGCCCCATACAAAAGGCGGAGATAATGTGTGTTACAGCATAGAACACTACAACGAGCGCGCCGAAGATGACGATGGAGACACTCTTGCGGCGCAAAACCAGTACTACGACATCAATGGTGTTTGGGAGCGGTGTACCGGTGCGCATGTTCGATTCGGTATCAACCAACGAGGCGGACGTAAGTATCTCCGAGTGGACGTAGACTCACCTTCGTGCGCTACCGGCTCTACTCACGCACACCATACTAGGAGACATACTAACAGCTCAAAGTGATCATTGGTCTCGACTTCCTCAACCCTAAAACAGCAGCACTGGCAAATTGGGATGACAGCCCAGCAGAAGCTAGCCTCCCGGAGCTCAAGCGCGCCTCGGACATCATGATGGCGTACTGGCTTCGCGGCAATATTGACCCCAAAAGCCTCAAATATTATCTTGTGCTCACCATCAAGAATACGATGACTCTCGCTCTCATCAACAGAGTGTTGAAGAATCATGGTCTCAAAGAGGTACCGTACTGGCCTGGTGTGATAGCCAACATGTACGACGAGGAAGGCCCGGCGCTACTTGGTGAGTAGTCTTGAGCGCCTTACATTGCCCAAGAGCAAACAGGACGGAACCAGTCCTGGCCTACTCCCATACGACACCCAAGGGTTGTGGGTGGTAACGACGCTGACGCACCCCAGGCTCTCCATTGGGTCGCACGCTCGCTTTCTTGCTTTTCCAACACAAGGCAGAGCTGGGTACCAAGCATGTCACTGAAATTGTGATCTTCAGAAACAATTATCCCAGGCATTTGAGAGTTGGTGTACACTTGTTGTTCAGGATCAAAGACGTCCCTAATCCGGCCCCAGCCCCAGGCACAGCTTCATTCCGGTCTCTGAGACTTCGAAGTTCGGTTCTGGACGATGGGCGGAGGAATAAGATATATCTACACGAAATCTTCCAAGATAACAGAGCTCTTGTTATGGGTAGCGCATAGATGAGTGGGGTGGAGAGAGGCGTTGTCGGCTATGTCACAGAGGTCGAGATGTCGGGTGAGGCCTATGCCACATAGTTGGATCTGGGTTTCGTGGCTACAGAACCCGGATTAGAGAAGACACTCGAGAAAATACCTAGATATTGTCCGTGGGTAGACTCACAGCTCATATGCCTCGAAGGGACAGACTCTGCTCCAGCAGCAGTCCTTCGATGACGTGCGCGACATCCAACAGCGGACATTTCTACCGCAGTCACAATCTTCAAAATCGTGTGACATCAAGCCCCTTCCGTGCAGAAAGTGCAACAAATGACGTGAACGCCCCACCCGTGCACTAAGCACTCTCGCTAAGCAAGTCCCCACCGACATCCCGCTCGATGACGTCGCACCCACCCTCCTCCCAACCACATTTCCCAATCATCTTTCAACTTTCCCATCGTGATCTTTTCGCCGACCCCAGCCGAGACGCTGATTAATACTGCTTTCGCGCTGTTATTCGTGGGTCTGGGGCTGCGCGCGGAAGTGATAAGCTTCTGCGAAGCAACGATGGCGTAGGATCGACGCTAGCACCGCGACGGTTGGCGGGTGCTTGTTTCCCTTGTGGACTGGGCGGGTCTGGAGACGGATTTAACATTGAAAGATTTCGATTGCGTCGGTGATGGCTGACGGAGAGGGTGGAGGCGCGACGTAGGTGGTGTGGAGTGGCCAGGAAAGAGGACCCTTAAGTATGCAACTGCCCGTGGGACCTCGGGGAGGCTCGATACTCGCGCGGTGCTTACCTTACAGACAAGTTTCCTGGCTATCGCGACCAATACGCCGGAGGTGTATTCTATCCGGCCTTCCCGCGCTTCACTTGTTATCCTTCTCTCCAGCCAACTCATCGCGCGCACTTCGTTAGGCAACCCCATCTTTCATCTCATTACTAGCATCCATATCCAGTCACGATGGCGGTAATATGGGGTCTCGACATGAAGGAGATGCAGTGGGGCAAGTTCAAGTCTGGCTACATGTGGAACAACACGTACCACAACCGTCGGACAAAGTTCATCATCTACCAACTCGCCATGATTCTCTGCGTTGTCAGTGAGAGTCTGGGAACGGCTGCGCTGTCTGGTATGACATCTCTCTCCATCTCTACTCATGGTGGCGACACTCATGGTGGCGACGACAAGCGTCTGCTATCTTCCAACTTGAACATCATCTAACATCCAGCAGACTACGTCGACCAGCAGAAGTTCGTCTCAAAGCTCGACCGCAACGTCATGATCCACAACAACAACTTCGTTGGCATCGCATCGTACAACATCTTCGTTGGTATCTTCGTCGCCACCATTTTCGGTGCCGCCTTCTTCTTCGATCTCTTCTGGCCCGAGCGAAAAGAGTCGAGAGGCGTCATCAACGCTTGGAAAGCTTGCTCAGTCTTTGCTTGCATGCTTACGCTCTCCGACGCCCTTGCATACACTTACATCACCGCGAGCAAGAGTGCGCACCTTACCGGCACGGACTTCGAGCGCGGACAGGGCCTGTTGTCGCAGTTCAAGAAGGCCGGTGAGACTCCGCTCGCTTACAACAAGAATGGGCGGGCGATTGCTAGTGTTGTGTTCTTGTGGCCGGGCATGATCTTCACTTTTGTCAGGTAAGGCACCTCTATCGGTCCTATCACGTCAACCTAGGGAAAACCTGGACAGGGGTGGAGCCTACATCGACGTTAGGCCACCTAATTTGCAGGTTTTCTTCTTGATGTAGCCTCTAGGGTGTTCAGTTTTTCCCTTGTATGAGGTGCTATCGTACCACTCTTACTGACTCATTTGTCTAGCACATATCTCCTATGGCATTCGCTGAACCACATCGACAAGCTCGGAGTCTTCTCCGCACATGCCCGTCATCTTGATGGCGCTCAAGATGGCGCAGAGCCCGAACCGAAGGGCAATGCCGTATAGAATTGGCTTCGCAAAACCATCACATCCGATTCCCGTTCCGTCCCCGCTTTTCCTGGTCCCTCTCGTCCCGGCCCTTCGACTCCCCAACAGAATCATGAATTGCAGAACATAAGCAAGTCACCCTCTGTCGTCACCGCGTACAAAGACGGAACTCCAGTCCGATCGGCTCCTCCCACATACAATTCCCATGCCGGTCCTTCTTCCCGTGGCGGTCCTTCCAGTCGTCCCGGTCCCTGGACTCCTCGTCGGGATTCGGAATTGAACAAGCTGAAGAAGAAGCACAAGACAGACATCAGCGTTGTCAGAGACGGACCCGCAGACCCACCTGCCCTCGGAAGGTGGGGAAGTGGGGGTGCTGTGCATGGTCCTGTTGAAGAGACCGTTATTGAAGAGACGCCTATCGAGACGCTTATAGAGCGGAACAGGGCCGAAGTGCGGAGGGCGCTACAGGAAAGCGATCCGGATAGGGATGAGATGATAAGGCAACGCAGTGAGGAGTTACTGGACAAGAACAAGGATTTCATCAGCGAAAGGCCGTTGAGTCCCCAGGAGTCTAGATGAGGGTTTGGTGAAGGTATTTCGGTATTTGATGGCGTTTAGGCATGAGTGGGATATTACGTATTGATACCCTGGTAGCTTGTTTTACTTGGATGAGAATGAATAATAGTAATTCTTCGATCGTTTGCGTTAGCTATGTTGATGATGCACCACATACAATAGGAAAAACTGAACACCCTGGAGCCTACGTTGACCTTGGGCCACCTGCTTTGTATGGTTTTATCATAATGTAGGCTCCACGGTGTTCAGCGTTTTCCTAGGCTGACGTGGATGCACTGTTGTAAAATGTCGATCCTGGATGTGCATGCTGTGATGTTGTCTTCTTCATGAAAGATTGAGGCTGATGCCTAGAGATGGACATGTCATACAACAAGGTGACAATGCTACTCACGTATAGCAATCTCTTCAACGCAGAGAGTGTCGACCTATGTCCCTACTCAGCTACTTGGGGTCGCGGGTGCACGGTTAGCCTACAAGTTCAAGCCCTCGCTGCGTATCTTGTCGATGAGCTGCACGCCATCACACGCCAACCCAGGGAAAAGCTAAACAGCCTAGAGCCTACGTTAACGTTAGGTTACCTACTTTGCAAGCCTTTAGGTTAACGTAGTCTGCAGACCTGTTTAGACCTTTTCTTGCATAAGGTAATTAGGGCTATGAGACCTAAGAGTTTCTCCACAGTAGCTATCTCATACTCAACACCCCATACATGCCTCTACCAAGACCTATTCCACTGCCGCATACCCTCCCTCAGGTCCCCATCCCTATCACGCCACCACCCACATCCCCGGTGCCAGCCTCATTCCAACCCAACGCCACCACGACGTTCCTTTTGCCGGAACGACGGCCCAATGCACACCCATAGGAAGATTATGAAACCAACACTCGCTTCCCCGTACCCACCATCGTCACACCACTTTCTTCACGGGAGCAAAAAGCAAGAAAAAAGAAAGGAGACCCTGTGAGAGTTCAAGCCACGTCAAGCCACGGCAAGCCATGGTGACGGAGAGGCTTACAGGGCTTGCGAGCGATAAGAATGATACGAAAAGAAGGAAAGGGTAGATCTCGGGAGGGACGGGAGGGAGCGAGAGATAGTAGCGTAGAAGCCACGATGACGTGGAGTGTTGTATATGTAGAATGGAGGTGGGGACACCATGGTTATGGGTGGAAAGAGCAAAAACAGGTGGGTTTGTTGCATGGCTTGGAAAGAGGGCCATGACGCAGTTGTTTTGCGAGTAATGATGTGGTGAGATTAGAGGATAGAGGTGAAAGAGCAGGAGTCGTGTGCATTGTGAAAGTTGCGAGAGTCAGCAGCAGAGTCATGAAAAGAAAAAGAAAACATGACTGTGAGAGGATGAGATTGCGAGTATTGTGACAAGAGTCAAGGAGGTTGCGAAAGCGTATGCGAATACGGGAGATATGCGTAGAGCAAGAAAGAGACCTCGGGGGGAAGTATTGGAGTTCTTGGTAAGACGACTCCGTGAATCAACGCGATGTAGGGAAAATGTGATCTCGACAACCAGCCTCGATTCTTGATAATATGGTTTGTTATGCTCGCAGAGGTGCAACCAGGCATCGGTAGGCAAACATCGCTTCATCTGTAATACCTAGAGAACAAGAAATATCGTCATCTTCATCGGCATCATCATTGCAGCAAAGGAAGAAACTGTCCTAGGTCTCCGTCCGGCTTACCGCCACAACTCACCTCAACCTCACCTCAAGGAAAGGTTCTGTCCACGAAGAGCAACTATATCGATCATCAAGCTTCCAACGCCTATGACACCGGCTTGTTCATACATACACCCAGCCTCACGCATACAAACAGCCTCCACGCGGCTCCGCTCCCCTCCAGCATCAGCACAGCGGATCCGACGCCCTCCCCGTCAGCCTCCTCAACTCTGAAACCCAACGTCGCGTCAACCTACCCTCTTCCTCGGCAGCCCCGACACGGACACTCCATCTGCATGTCATACCCAAGAACGTCGTCTGACATAAGCCCCACTGCAACACATTTCCCACGTGGGTTCCGAACCCGTGTTCCCTGTAAACATGCGACAGCGACAGCTCCGACCGATCGCATTTCAATGCAGACAAGGTGCCAGGT